ATATGAAATGTTGTCAAAATTCACCCCCTTGGAAACCCCCTTGATTTCTTGTCCGAGGATCCCCCAAATAGGTATTTTGTAATTTAACTTATAATAATATTTTTTCCAAACTCGGAGTAAAACATATCTTAAAATAAGTGACTTAAAGTCCAAATCTATTTTCTTATCAAAAATTAAATATGCATGCCAACCACATAATAAATTCCACCCTTCAAGAAAAAGAATATCTCTATTTGTTAAATTGAGCCAGTCACTTACTAAAGTTAAAGTGGCCGCATCATAATATAATTTCAAATTTGGTGCTTTAAGTCCACCTCTTTCTGAAGCATCTTGTAAAATCTTAAATTTTACCCTTGATTTCTTCCCGCCCCAAATAAATTTATTAATACCCTTCTGCCACTCATCCAAATTAGCATCCTTCTTTAAAACAAACATAATCTAACTAACATTACCTGACTATACTATCAATCAAATCCATAACATACTTTAACTCCTTTTCAAAATTAGTGTTAACAAATTAAAAACAAAAATAATAAAAAATTAAACCATAATACTAAAAATAATATAAATTCAACCATATTAAACTATTAATAATAATCTAAAATTTACTCATAAGCAAGATAATACTTTTCAGTCTCATATTTCTTTTGAATGTAATCAATCCATCTTCTCCAAACTGAAATATATTTTTCTTGTGAGTAATCCTTCAAATAAGCGGAGATTTTTGCCATTTCTGCTAAATTAGACACCTTAAGTATCCATTCTTCCATAGTAGGCAAAGAATTTTTCTTCCAATATTGTCCCACCAGTAATCTTGCAGCTGTTATAAGATTCAGCATCAAATTAATTTCTTTAACATCAATGTCTACAATAATACCCAACAAAAATAATTGTGGCGTAAACTTTATCTTTCTCTTAAAAATCTTTTGAATATTCCACCAAATCTTAATCCAAAAAGCGTTTATGTCTCTACAAGTCCACCAAATATGAAAATAGGTTGCATCTAAACTTCCACATCTCCAACATTTGGGCTATAAATTAGGATACACTTTTGAGGATCCAAATGCCATCTATAAAACATTTTATAAAAATTTTCTCTTAAATTTTGCGCTTGAGTAAATTTTACATTTCTAACCCAAATTGTCTCCCATGTATCCAATAAAATCGGCTCTTGAATATTTTGAGCCCATTTAACCATACAATCTTTAACTAACTCCATTTCAGAATCCAATTCTATTAAAACATTATAAATTCTCTTTATATGGGTTCGAGTTTGATCTTTAATCTGTTTTACCAAATTCACATCCTCTAAAGTAATACCAACTTTTTGATCTATACTCCACCTCACTAACAATTGATTATACTGAAACCAAGAATGTATAATATTTTCTTGCTTCAGCTCAGTTGAAGACTTTAATTGCCAATCCTGTCCTACCAAACGGAGTAATTCCTTATAAGAAATCCTATCCAAATTCACTCCCCTAGATACTCCCTCTATCGCGTGTCCAGGAATCCCCCAAATTGGAATTTTATAGTTTAACCTATAATAATACTTCTTCCAGACACACAACATAGGCTTATAATTTTTAGGCTGAGTCAAATCTTGATCCTCCTTTGGGATCAATGATATAAAAGCCCTTCTCCAAGATGGAGGTACCTCTGCTCCCAACAACGTCTTCACGCAGAAATTTAGGCACCTTCTTTTCAAACAGTGTTCCTCAATTATTTTTAAACCTAAATTTAAGTAATAGTCTCTATTTATGTTATTATTCTTTATCTTAGTTAATTTGATTACTAAACACCAAGTGAGTTTGCATCTGTGGTTTCCTCATTACTGTTGCTGCACCCACTCATTACACAAAGTAATTGTCTGTTTCTTGGGGAATAGCAGAGGTTTGACATTATTTCAAGGTTTCAGGGCACTTTTGTTGATGTAGCTGACTTCCACAATTTCCTCATTAACTGCTTTCTGTGTCTCTTGGGCAAAGAACCACATTATTAAATACTGATTTCCTTTCTTTTTAAGGCTGCCAATTTGACCATTTTCAGTCTCACTGATCTCCTACTATTTACTGTACCAGTGGTTAATTGATTTCTAATTTTGTATGTTCATCTTCTATGAGGTCCTGTATCAAGGCTATTTGATGGAAGGCCACAGAAATTGGCTCCAACCCTCAAGGCAAAGCTTAGGAGATGTGGCTCAATAACCACCTTTTCCACTCATTGCTGGGAACTTTCTTTTTTTTATTTTTTTTTATTTTTAACCAACAAGACAAAATAAAACAAAGCAAAACATAACACACATACAAACACAATATATACTCCTCCTTTTTTTTACAGCAATTGCGTAACGGTAATCTATTATTTACATTTCCCCCTTATTCTTCTTTAGAATATTTGTCCTTATAGCCCCGTTATTTCTTATTTACATTTTTCTTCCTTCATGTTCTACTTCTTACTAAGAATAATTCATATTATTATTATTATACATTATTATATACATATTTTCACTTTTGACCTTTCCATATTTATTCTCCTCTATTATTTCTAGTCTCCAATCAGACATACAGCTTGTTCCATACTATATAATACTCTGTGTCTTCCTTTTCTTTTATCTCTTTTGTTAATTTGTCCATCTCAGCACAGTCCAGGATTTTTCTTATTGCTTCTTCCTCTGATGGTATATTCTCATTTTTCCAGCACTGTGCATATGCTATTCTTGCCACCGTTATTATATGTAAAATTAAGTACCATATTTCTTTACTATATTTTCTATTTAAAATACCCAACAAAAAGATCTCTGGTTTCCAGTCTACGGGTTGGTCTATTATTTCTTGGATCCATTTTCTTATTGTGGACCAGTATTGTTTTGCAACTGGGCATGTCCACCATAGATGATAATATGTTCCATGTACTTTTTTACATTTCCAGCATGTTGGCGGATTATTCTGGAACATCTTGGCAAGCTTTGCTGGTGGAAGATGCCATCTGTAAAACATCTTCAACTGGTTTTCCTTGAATGCCGCCGACATAGTCAATTTTATATTTATGTCCCATATTTTTCCCATTTCTCCAATTCTATATTATATCTGAAATTTTTTGCCCATCTAATCATTGTGTCTTTGACAACCTCGTCTTCCATTTTATATCTCAATAGGTATTTGTATAAATTGCTAATTAATTTTATTTCTGTTCCATGTATAATTTTACATTGCCGGGAACTTTCAATCCATTGCTCACCAACAACCAGGCTCAATAATTGACTCCCTGAGGGACCCTCCAAGTATGCTTTTTCACTGCAGCAATTCTTTGCATCTTGATTACTTAACATTTTCTGTATTGTATTTCTGCATCTAATACAGAAATTGTTAAAATCTTCCAGTAGCTGTTTTTCTATTCTTCTTCTCATCCTTCACTCTAAGGATCCTTTCTCAGAGCAATTGTATCGCAGATTGGAAGAAGAAAAAAAGATAGAAGAGAAAAATATGTTGAAAAATAGGCTAATGTTGAAAAATCATATTTAGTTTGTGAAACTAGGATGATTTTATATATAACTAAATCTGAATATTTTGTTTTGTGAAAACAGATTTTAAGTTACTGTGTTATTCAGGGCATGGGAAAATGCTTGTGCTTCATTATGAAATCATCTCTAAATCTCTCCAGCATCCATGGCAACTGGATGCGATACCTCAGAACTTACAGAATAACCGAGTTGGAAGGGACCTTCTAGTCCAATCCCATGCTCAAGCCGGAAACTCTACACCATTCCAGACAAATGGCTTTCCAAATTATTCTTTAAACCTCCAGTGATGGAGCACCCAAAACTTCTGGAGCCAAACTCTCACAGTTAATGCTATTGAGCCACATATCACCTATTCTATACCTGTGCATTCATTTTTTCTTGCCTAAGTGGAAAGCCATATTGTTCTCACCACTGAAATTTAGAGATAAGTAATAAAAAATATGACCCCCATGAGGTTCTTTGTAGCTGAAGCAACAGGAAGCATTCAATGTAACCAACACTCACAGCTTTTGGAATCCAGCTCTCCTTCTCAATTTCAGTTAATCTTCTGTGTCCCAAAGACTAGAACACTGGGCACTATCTAACAAAATGAAATTCAATGGTGAAAAAAGCAAGGTTCTACATTTAGGCAAGAAAAACCAAATGTACAGGTATAGTATAGGGGGTACCTAGCTCAATAGTAGTAACTGTGAGAGGGACCTCGGAATCCTAGTGGACAATCACTTAAATATCAGCCAGCAGTGTGCTGCAGCTGCCAAAAAGGCCAACACAGTGCTAGGCTGCATTAAAAGAGGGATAGAATCAAGATCACGTGAAGTGTTAATACCACTTTACAATGCCTTGGTAAGGCCACACTTGGAATACTGCATCCAGTTTTGGTCACCGCAATGTAAAAGAGATGTTGAGACTCTAGAAAGAGTATAGAGAAGAGCAACAAAGATGATTAGGGGACTGGAGGCTAAAGCATATAAGGAATGGCTGCTGGAATTGGGTATGTCTAGTTTAATGAAGACAAGGACGAGCGGGGACATGATAGACCCACCAAGAAGCAGAGCAGCTGTTTTCCCAAAACTCACCCATAAAAAATGTGTCACCCATGATAGCAGTGCCAACCCCAGATTTCTACCACTTGGTTCTAAGGGCTCTTCCCAAACTCCAGCCATTAGTGAACATGGCCAAGCACTATCATCGTGGACTGTAGAGTCTGGGCAGCAATTCAGTAAGGAATTTTCTTTGCCCCATTAGTACACTGCAAATCCTGAGCCTCCAATCTTTTATAATCATAGCAGGTTAAATGTTCAACTAAGTCTGCTGTTCTTCTAAGGGCTTTTATAAAAGCTTACAAACAGGAGTGTTTCAATACAAGGAAGATGCACCATTGCAAAAACTATTTTGCAATAGTTCACTGAAGTGATATGATGCAACCATTACAACTCCATAAATAGAGAGCCATGTCTGTCCCAGGAGTAAGGTTTGATCCAGAACCAGTCTCAGCATGAAGATCCTTTACCTGTTGTTTGCATTTCTTTTCCTTGCATTCCTGTCTGAACCAGGTAAAAAACAAAATTACTGATAATTTACAAAGGATTGGTAACTCACTCCTTTTTAAACAAGTGTGATCATCACTGAAAGCAGGATAATCTTCAACATGTTTTTGTTTTACTTTACAGATATATCTTTGAACAGTGTAGACTCCAAACATTTGAAAAATATGCCACTGATTTTTCTTTTGATTCACAATTCTTGAAATAACTTTATTGGGGTTTTTGTTATTGTAGCTTTTTTTGTTGATTTGCTTCACTTTAGTATTGGTTTACCAAATTCTCAGCCAAATGTGTTCTATTTGAATAAGGAGGCACAATCGAGAAACAGTTTGATCTAGTGATTAGAGCAAAACACTACAATTCTGGATACTGAATTCTAGTCCCACCTTGGGCCTGAAAGCTGACTGAGTGACTTTGGACCAATCTCTCTCTCTCTCTCTCTCTCTCTCTCTCTCTCTCTCTCTCTCTCTCTCTCTCTCTCTCTCTCTCTCTCTCTCTCTCTCTCCCCTCCATCCCTCCATCCCCCCCCCCTCTCTCTCTCCAAACCTGTTGATGGCATTGCTGTTATGGAGAGAAAAGGAGGAGGAAGGATTATTAGATACATTGAGTTATTTTTAAAAAATAAAAATGGAAAAAATAAAAGATATTAATGATCTAGTGAATATATTTGTACTTAATTGGGGAAAAGAGAAGAAATTGCAGCAAAATATCATAAATGCACAGCATTTCAAGAGCAGAAAAGAGCAGTGATAGAAACATTAAGAGAAGAGGGAGAAAGCCAAAGGAAAACCAGCTCCTGAAGTTTAAAGGAAGTTAAACCTTCTCACTCAAGGTTTTCATCCAAAACACACAATGCAACTGACCACTGTAACTCAGCAAGGATCCATGGCAATAGTGGAGAGAAATATATCATAGCAAGGTCTATTCTTCATGTGAACCAGATTATTTCTTCACTCATACATTAATAGACACAGGCTTACCAGCTAATTCATATCTGAGTCTGACTTCAAACCTGGGTTAATAGCTGATTTATTTGAGCTGCTGCAGGAGATCAGCAGAAATGGATCTCCTGGTCAGAGAAAACTTGCTGTAGTCCTAGGAATCCTGCACTTCTTGGAAGGATGTTTCCATTCCCACTTTGGATGAATGGTTACAAAATCTGATGGCGTTAGCAGAGATGGCTAAACTGACTGTTTTGATGAAAGAAAAGAATATAAGTACCTTTGTTTCTGCTTGGAAACTGCTTCTGGTCTTTGTGCTTGAGGTGGAAAAAATGATACTATGATTTTGGGGTTTACTGATTAGACTGACTTGTTGATAGAGAAAGGGGTAGTTCATACTACTACAGAAATGTAAAAAGTTGAGATTCGATTTTAATGTGTTATTTTACTGCAACAGAGGGAATCGGAAATCAACACCTTTTGTTTCTTCCCCCCCTTTCCACATTTCCCTTTTTCTTCTTTCCCTTTGTTGTTTCTTACTATTTGTTTTTTATTTTCATATTTTTATGTTATAAATGAATAAAATTATAAATTGATAAAGGAATCCTGCAATTCTGTGGAAGAAGGTAGTGTCTTGGAAGGAAAAATGTATTTAAATATTAAGGAAACATTACTCATCATTTACCTGTCTCCTCTTTTCCTTTTCATAGGGAATGCTGACCACAAGTGTCGTGATGCAGGAGGAATGTGCTCTCTCACTATGTGTGTTCCTGGCACTGACCTTGGGCAGCAGGACTGTGTGTCTCAATTGAGGTGCTGTAAACGGTAAGAAAACTCTTCTCTAATAAAGATATTACAGATACAGTAAATAATGAGACTTTCTGCCTGATATTGTTTGCATTCAAAAAGCTTTGCAAAGCAAAGAATTTACTTTAAACTCACTTTGATCAACTTATTTTTTCTCTCACTTGTATAGCATAAAGGGAAAATAATGCATCTCCATCTACGACCATGGATACCTTTAAGATATGGCCAATGACCCAAGATTACCACCTGCTGTTGCTTTATCTTTCTTTATATAAATCAAATTGCTACCCATCAAACTCTAAAACATTTGTGCATTGAAGTAAAATTTGTCAAATATTTCTTGAAATAAAGCTAAATGAGCATTGCAGACGTTGTGCAACTTCTTTAAAAAGCACCTGGGAGCAGTATATTCTTATGACTACTGGTATGAGAGAGAGGGGGGGAGGGGCAGAAAGAGAGAGAGAGAGAGAAAGAGAGAGAGGGAGAGGGAAGGAAGTAGGAAAAGAGGGAGAGAGAGGGAGAGAGAGAGAAAGAGAGAGAGAGGAGGGAGGGAGAGAGAGAGGGAAGGAGGGAAGGAGAGGGAGGGAGGGAGAGAGAGAGGGAGGAAGGGAGGGAGAGAGAGGGGGAGAGAGAGAGAGGGAGAGAGGGAGGGAGAGAGAGGGAGGGAGGAGGAGGGAAGGAGGGAGGGAGAGAGAGAGGGGAGAGGGAGGGAGGGAGAGAGAGAGAAAGAGAGAGAGAGGAGAGAGAGGAGAGAGAGGAGAGAGAGGAAGAGAGGGAGGGAAGGCGAGAGGGAGAGAGAGAGAGGGAGAGAGGGAGGGAGGAGTGAGTGAGGGAGAGAGAGAGGGAGGGAGGGAGAGGGAGAGGGAAGGAGGTAGGGAAAGAGGGAGAGAGAGGGAGAGAGAGAGAAAGAGAGAGAGAGGAGGGAGGGAGAGAGGGAAAGAGGGAGGGAGAGGGAGGGAGAGAGGGAGAGAGAGGGAGGAAGGGAGGGAGAGAGAGGGAGGAAGGGAGGGAGAGAGAGAGGGAGGGAGAGAGGTACCATCTAAACAAATAGATAGACTACACAATAAAATCACATTATCAGAGGGTGAGTCACATAGGACCTGATGCAGACAAACACACAGCCAACATGGGAGGGATACTATTGTGGACACTATTATACCTATGATAATAAAGGGGTGTGATCTACCAATGTACACAGGTGGAAACATAATTTGCACAATCAGTATCCATACAAGCATGAACCTATTTAATCCCCCCCCCCTCTCAAATTTCATTCACACAGTTTCTACTTCTCTTTTATTACAATGTCTAAATTGATAAGGGGAAATAAATATTTAACTTGTGGCATAAATCATCCTATAAAATGTTAAAATCTCAGCAATGAATCAGACTTCACTGAAAAGAATTATTAAAATACAAATAGTAATTTCTAGAGTAAGACTAGGACCAATAGTTTACATATATCCATTCTTTATTAGCCTTTTAATGCAGCATTTTTTACAACATAGGCAGGGTACATGTAACAAAGCAATCAGCTAGATTTCCCTTTTCCACTTTTATCCTCATCCCTCATGTTTAGGGTTCTTTCTCAAATCAATTCTATCACATCATGGAGTTCAAAGGAGGTGGAATAGCCTAATACACCTCAACATGTTTTTTCCATCTCCTTTAGTGACTTTCATTTATTTGGATAAATGAGTCTGTGTGCTTTTAATTTACTATCTTTTAAACAATTTGTTGCTCTGTATGGTTTTCATGTGGGTGTTTGAAATTTGCTGATTTTTATGAATTCTGATTGGCCAGGAAAGGAAAACAAACAAAAATAAATAAATAATAGTCTTTGACCACTAGAGGGAGGTATGAGTATGATTAATCCTGAACTGCTTGTTATTATCATATTGACCCATATTGACCCAAAAGATCTTTAATTTCATAAATCAAGGAAAATATATTAATTAGATGGAGGATATTGAAAATTATCAACCTACTGTGTCAACCTGATACATATTGGACAATGGAAATAACCTAACTGTAACTTCATAATACAAATCTGACCTCTGCTTTCCCCTAGACCAGTGATTCTCAACCTTTCTAATGCCGTGACCCCATACTACAGTTCCCCATGTTGTGGTGACCCCCAAGTGGGTGTGGCCACCAATAAGAGGGAGTAGGACAGCTAGGGAAAAGGGAAAAAATGGCGGACAGCATGGTTTGGTGACCCCCGTGAAATGGTCATTCGACCCCAAATGGGGTCCGGACCCACAGGTTGAGAACCACTGCCCTAGACAATGGTGTGAGTATAACCCTCCCAGTGGAACTGAAAGAAGAGAATCAAGTAAATTTACAATTTTGAAGAGGTCAAGTTTGGGACTTTTGCTTTATGGATACTAACAAGGTTGAAAATGCTTTGAGAAAAAAAGATGTGATAGCCATCTTAGTGAAGGAAACCTTATTCTGGGAAGATTTGCCTCAGATTAATTTACAATGTCAAATAGAACCTCTTTGGGACTTTCTTTATATGGACATAAATAAAGCTGAGAATTTTTTCAAGAATGAAAGATCTGACAGAATCCCATGAGAAGAAGAAACTTCTCTACTTTGTGAAGATAAACTGGAGGGAGTGACCTAAAATTAACATCTTAATTAATTAGGATGCATTTAAAAAAAGTTTTATATATATACTGAAGAAAGTTTTAAGTTAGTTTTGTATGTGTAACATGAGTATGTGTGTAAATGCATGTTTTCAGGTTTTTAAAATACAGTTCAATAATTTCCAAAGTTTGTAAAATATTATTGACTGGGTTTGAAAATATGAGAAGAGAAAGATCCATTTTATGGGGACTAAACTTGTGGGAGAGAGTCGAACTTAATGAGCTAACTTTGGGGTTTGGTTATAAAATGAAAGGTTTTCTCTTTTCTGCTTTATATATAATACCTGAGTACTCCCTAGATTTAGCAAATTACTAAAACTAAAAAAAGTGTGTTCTTCCTCTAGGGTTAAAAGAAAAAAGATATATTATTCCCCACAGCAAAAAGAAGCAGAGATGGTTAAATTGATTACTTTACCCAAAGAAGAGAATATACTTAATCTTGTCTCTATTTTGAAATTGCTTCTGGATTTTGTGCTTGCAATGAGAAAAAAAATATGAAATTTTGATTCTGTTTTTGAAAACTAGATGGGCGTATTGTTATAGAAATGGCTTGTACATCTATTGTGTAAAAGTAAAAAGTTGTGGTTGAAATATGGTTTACCTTCTACTGTGCTAAAGAGAGTTGGACGTTAATTTTTTTTTTCTTTTTCCCTTTTCCTCCTTTACACTACCCCCCCTTTCTCCCTCCCTCTTCTTTTAGTTTTCCACATTTTTTCCTTCTGTTTTATACTTTGATAAAAAATAATAACATTTCTCTCATGTGAGGAAATGTATTGTCCACAGTAGCCCATTTTTTTTAAAATAAAGACCTTACACCACATCATCAGTATATTGAAAAATAGTTTGCTCTGGCAAAGGGTTAAAAACTAGCAAATGGTTTATAAATGTCATTCGAAAATATTTGAAGTGTTTGTGTGTTTCTCTGTTTGCCTTAACCACACCTTGGCTAAAAGCCCCCTTTCTCCAGACTCTAAAAGTCTTGTTCTCTCCCTGTCTGCCTGTCACCTGCTTTTAGTCGGGTAAGGAGGAGCCTTAAGCTGGAAGGGACCTTGGAGGTCTTCTAGTCCACAACTTTTCAACCTTTTCCCAGATCGTACCACTTTTAGGATATGGCAATATTCAAGTACCACCAGTCGCCTAGCAAGGTGTCAAAAACTTGATGATCAAAAAACCCCCCAAACCCAAAGTGATAAAGTACAGGTATTCCTTGACTTACAACAGTTCACTTAGTGAATGTCTGAAAATACAAGGCACTGAAAAAAGTGACTTGTGACGATTTTTCACACTTCTGACCATTGTAGCTTCCCCAGGGTCATGTGATTTACATTCGGATGCTGGGCAACTGATTCATATCTATGATGGTCACATTGTCCCAGGGTCATGTGATTCCCTTTTGCAACCTTCTGATATGCAAAGTCAGTGGGGAAGCCAGATTCATTTAACAACCATGTTGCTAATTTAACAACTGCAGTGATTCACTTAACAAATGTGGCAAGAAAAGTCATAAAATGGGGCAAAAATCATTTAACAAATTTTTCACCCCTCCTCCTTTTATATCTTCTCTCCCCTTCTATTATATCCTCTTTTCTCTCCACCCCTTATTTTATATTGTCTCTTCTCTCCCCCTTCTTTTATATCTTGTCTTCTCTCGCTTCCTTCTCTTATATCTTCTCTCCCCCTTCTTTTATATCTTCTCTTCTCTCCCCTTCTTTTATATCCTTTGTCTCCAGCCCCTGTTTTACATCCTTTGTCTCCCCTCCTTCTTTTATATCCTCTTCTCTTCCCCCTTTTTTATATACTTTCTCTCCTCTCCTTTTATATCATCTTTTCTCTCTCCTTCTATCTTCTCTTCTCTCCCTTCCTTCTTTTATATCCCCTCCTCTCTCCCCCTTATTTTATATCCTTTCTCTCCCCTCCCCCTTTTTATCATCTCCTCTTCCCCCCCTTTTCTCTTCAGTGCACCTCCAGCTGACTGCTTTCCTGAAGGTTGCACTTTCTTCCCCCTCCCTTGTCTATTTTTCTCTCTCCCTCTCCCACCAAAACCTGCTCCTTTTATAGCCTTTCCTTCTCTGCCTCTGCTTCTTTTCTCTTCTGGGTTCACTGGAAGTACCAATCAGCTGGAGCAGGAGAACCCCTGCAACACCTCACACAGCTCCAGTTGAATCTCTATCTGAAGACTGCATGGGCTGCCTGACACCACCAAGGCTGCCGCCAATTAGCTGGAGTTGCCCGTGTCTTTCAGCAGTACCCAGGCAGTACACCTCACACAGCTCCAGCTTACTTTCCCATAAGCCTGTGTGGCACTGCCACCGCTTCACCTCATCCACTTTTACCCTTTATTTTTCAGTGCTGTTCAACCTGTCATATGCCGTACCACCTGCTAGGTGCCGACGTACCACCAGTGGTACATGTTCCACCAGTTGAAAAGCCCTGTTCTAGTCCAACCCGCTGTTCCAGCAGGAGAACCTATGTTGTTCCAGACAACTGGCCATCCGATCTTTTCTTAAAAACCTGAAGGTTTTTAAGTGTATTATTTTTAATATTAGTATAATATTATTTCAGAATAATTATGCTAAGGTGAAGGTTAATATTAAAAAATGTATTGAGATGAGGTAAATCACAACTGTGATTGCTGGGTAGAATTTTGGTAATTAAGATGAATGTTTTAGAACAGAACAGAACAGAA